GAGAGGCCTGAAAGGCCTATGAAGCGGTATATAAGTCTACTGCTATTGCTATAATATAGGCACAGAGTTAAAAAAATTTAACATTTTCTAATGGTGGTGTGCCTCGTGATTTTTTTCATGAAAAAAGTGTGCCTTTGCACAAAAAAGGTTGAAAAACACTGTAATAGATGATACAATACTCTCATTTTAGGCCAAACCCATATAATTAACTCAAGTGATATTTTAACCAATCATGTCTTCCAGTTACAGGTAGTCCTTAACTTACAAGATTTCATTTAGGAACCATTCAAAGTTACATCATCACTGAAAAAGGTGACTTATGACCGTTTGTCACACTTACAACCATTGTAGCATCCCCCTTGGTCACATGATTGACATTCAAATGCTTGACAACTGACTCACATTTATGACAGTTGCAGTGTCCAGGAGTCATGTAATCATGTTTTGTGACCTTCTGACAAGCAAAGTCAATGAGGAAACCAGATTCACTTAACAACCATGTTATTAATTTAATAGCTGCAGGGGTTCGCTTAACAAAATGTGGTATGAAAAGTTGTAAAATGGGGCAAAGCTCACTTAACAACATACATTTTGGACTCAATTGTGGTTGTAAGTTGAAGACTACCTGTACAACGAGAGATATTTTCCCTGCTTACTCTAGTCCGGTGGTCCCCAACCTTTCCGGCTCTGCGAACCAGCAGCAGCAGTGGGGGGAGGGGAGATGGTTTTGCGCATATGTGCGCCACTTGTACAAATGCAGCTTGCCCAGGCTAGTTCCCAATAGGCCAAGGCCTGGAGGTTGGGGACCACCTGCTCTACTCCATTCTCAGAACTTTTCAATTACAGAATATTACTAAGGTATCACATTGGATCAGGAAGCCTAGGACTATACAACAGAATAGTCCACAGTGACCCAGAAGAGATTCATTCACTTTAGTCAATTCCTTTCTTGAAGGAAACATAATTGCTTAGGTTCCTACTGGCCAGCTCTTACCAGAACACAGGGCTGTCTCGATCATCATTCACTTTGTAATATTCCTTATCAGTTTCAATCACTTTAGTCAGCCCAAAGTCACCAATCTTTACTCTCTGCTCATTTTCAACCAGAACATTTCTGGCTGCTAAGTCTCGATGAACATACTGTCGAGATCCAAGATAATCCATTCCCTGAATGAAGAAACAAACGTTTGAAGTCAATTTTATTTTCTTCTGGCCACAGACCAACCCCTTAGAACAGTGGTTCCCAACCTTTTCTTCATCATAGATCCCCTTTCAAATGCCTTTTGTGGCCATGGAGCATGGCTAAGACTTAACTCAAGGCCTAAACATTTCTTCAAGACTTACTGGAACCCCTGTGACAACATTGCAGCTCTCCCAGGGGTCTGAAGACCACAGGTTGAGAACCACTGATTTTAGGACATTTTTCTTTAAAGGGCTATGCCAAATTCCTTTAGTTTCATTAGGTCAGGGGTCAGCAAACTTAAACAATCAAAGAGCCATTTGGACCCATTTCCCACAGAAAAGAAAACACCGGGAGTCATAAAGGTCCTAACCGGAAGCCCCTGTTCAATTCTGGAGCTGACCGGAAGTTCAGTTTCCCCCACCATAGAGTCTCCTCCTAGCGTGACGTACCTTTTCCTCTACCTGTCATAACCGAAAGCCCTATCAATTGTGGAGACAACTGGAAAACCCTGCCCTTGCCATAGAGTCTTCTCCTGGCGTACTGTGCTTCTTCCCCCCACCCCAAAAGCTCCTCTCAAAATTGTGGCGCTGACCGGTGACGGTGCTGCAGCAGAAGGAGGAAAGAGCCACATGCGGCTCCAGAGCTGCAGTTTGCTGACCCCTGCATTAGGTAGATTGTTTAAAGAATCAATGTTTTATAGAAGTGAAAAGTATATTGGTCAAAGAGACCCTTGCTATGTATGCAAATGTTCTTTTAATGCAAGCGTGCATAAGAACTCCTCCCTTATCACAGAATGCCAAGTTTCTGCATAAAAAGAAGTTAATGTGTTTTATATAATAAAAGTACCACACAATGAAAAACTGAGAGCAGAGAAAGAGTAAAGGTCCAAAATCTGTATTCCATATTTAGTCTATTACTAACAAGAAGTATCTGAGAGGTATGAGAACACACACACACACAGACACACAGACACACACCGGTGACACAAGTATTTCTCTCTATAACTTTGAAGCCTCTTACTCTTGTGGGCTTTTAACAGTCGCTGGTTTTTCTTTAACCCAATCTTTTATTAATCTTAATGCTGCCTCCATATATGGTTTAACATAGTTGTGGTTCTTTAACTTGATTTATTTTTTTATAAGATTATACTTTAAATGGCCTCATGGGGGCTTACTGTAAAAGGGGGAATATGCTAAATAAATATTCTAGGAGAAACGAAAGTGTTTTTTATGACTAATTATTTCAAACACCTACTAAATATGCTAATTGGAAATTAAAATGCCTTGGTGACTGCTATTAAATACCTACCTTGCAGATTTGCACAGCATATTTCAGTTGTTGTTTCAGGGAGATTTTACTTTTGTTTCGAGGGAGATATTCTTTCAGGCTCCCAGAAGGAAGAAACTCCATGATAAGCTTAATTCCGTTACCACCTTGTATTTAAAACACAGAGACACAAATTATTTCAACCAAGTGTAGGAATTAATACCACTGCCTATTTTAAATGTTCTTCTTGATGTTCTGTCACTTAGCTAATCAATCTACACGTGGCCCTTGATTTATGACTGGTTGCTTAGCAACTGTTTAAAGTTAAAACCTACCTGAAAAAAGGGACTTACNCCCTTGCTCTAGCAGGAAACTCCTACATCATTTTAGACAAATGGTTATACAATCTCTTCTTAAAAACTTCCAGTGTTGGAACATGCACAACTTCTAGAGATGTAATAGCAAAACATGATTTTTGTTGCTTTTTTAAAAGAAAATAAGGTAGGAGAAATCACAGTATATCAGTGGAACAAAGAGCAGGAAACAACATGCTATAAAATCATCCAGCCTAGGATAATCAGCCAGTTTTCATGTAAACACGTGAGGCCTTGTGGCCTAATTTTTTGAGGCTGCTTTTTTGAACCAAGCCCCATTTGTATGTATAATTGCTTTTAGATCTTTAATGTAGGGAGATGGTTAGTTGTTTTTTCAACAGAAGTACATCATGTACACTTTCTGGAGCCTTATCTGTTGAAGTTCAGCTAAGGAGGAACTTTTCAAGATATACATAAACGGTACCCGTAAAAAGCCAGATATGCTATTAGCAAGGCTGTAAAAGTTGTATCTAAAACTTCCAATACAATGATTGCAAAAAAATGTTTGGCGAATAGTTATCAAGGCTGGAATGCCCCAATATATTATAAAGAGAGTATTGTTTTTCTCTGAGTGTCTTCTCTATAAAGTAATGAGATCCTACTTATTTGTGATCAATGGATTTAAATGTCATTCTATCCCCGCACCCAAACCCTGGAGGCAAATTACAACTCAGCCAAAGTTCTTCAGAAATTCTTGGGAAAAGGAAGATGATCGTTTGGATAATTAAAGTGGAAAGGGGGACATTTACAGTGAGTCAAATCAATACTTCAATTACAATGAGAGGAGTTAATACAGCCTTATCCTGAAACTAATTCAAATTTGGACACGTGAGGGATTTTCCTGTGACCCAGGGCAGGAACTTTCAGACAGCATATAAAGAGGGAGTGTACCTATGCCTGAGAGAACCTTGTTAATTAGACTTAGAATTGTGTAAATCTGTTATGGCTTAGTGCTTAAAAGTGATGATTAGAGGTCAAAACATATGAAGAACGGTTGCAGGAACTGGGTATGTCTAGTTTAATGAAAAGAAGGACTAGGGGAGACATGATAGTGTTCCAATATCTCAGGGGTGCCACAAAGAAGAGGGAGTCAAGCTATTCCCCAAAGCACCTGACGGTAGGACAAGAAGCAATGGGT